TTCAAAATCAACTCGCAATCAACCACATCGCATACAATCAAACCCTTGATCCAACGTCAAGCGGGTTTTCACAATCAAACCTCAAAACAATTAACAATTATCGAAACTTTTTTTAAGGTGAAAAAGAGGGGGGTTGAGCCTTTGATATCTCTTCAGTTGTTTGGGTGCGAGTTCTCTTACTCATGTGTGAGCAATTGATGCCTCTAAATCTCTTCCAACCATTCGCCATTCAAAAAGCTTTTCAAATACAACCTCTTTTCAAGATGAAAAAGAGAGAGAGTCAAGCCTTTGACTCAGTCTCCCGATTACTTGGGCCCGAGGAGCATTTCTTAAGCTTCGAGCAATCATCATTCCAAACCAAACATCAATACATAACCCTTTCTTTTTGTGGTCGTCTCCACGAACTACAAACACTCTGATTCTTCATTCATTTGAATGTAAGATACGTAGGCATAAGATTGCGATGATCTTGGTGAGCTACCTCCTCAATTTTTCGCTTCTACCTTCCCTCCATCTTCCGTTTGCACACTTTTTTTTCACGTTTTTCACACTTCTATCCATCTTCCGTTTTCCCCTTTATCCTTCCCCGTAGTCGAACTACGAGCGCTCTGATTCCTCATTCTCGTCCGAATGAGCATACATAGGCACAAAGGCCCCAATCCTTGGTGAGAACCCTAACCTAAAATCACTCATTTTCCCCTTAGCATTGATTCCCTTCTATCGTAACTTTTCTCTTTATATCGTTTAGAAGAAAACAAATAAGCTTATCTAATGTTCATTACGGGAGTCGGTGGTGACTCTGTCGAACCGTTTTCTGCGCCTTTCGCGCGAGGGTTGTATTTCTCGATTGTATTTTTTCAAGGTGCGATAATGCCTCTATAATAATGCCATATAGTACTCGTCTAACATCAGATCCCTTAGGGAAGGTACCCTCGTCAATTCTTGTCCGCGCCATCTCTATTATGCAACGACAACGAGGCAAGACATCCTCAATATAATCCATCTGAGCCTGCTTCTCCTCTAGAATCGCTTGATGAATAGGTCTCAACGGATCTCCTGGAGCAGTTGGCACCATGTACGGATGTGAGATCCTGAAGAACCACCTGATGTATTATCATTTGACGTTATGGTAGCCCGAGCCTCATCCGGTACTAGATGACTCTGATAATTAGCAAACATCTCATCTATCTGTATACGAGTATAGGTCAGACGTGCAGAGACAACAGGATGTCTGAGGACGGTCTGGGTCTACCCGAACTGTCGCATGAGGTGCTCAGACAGATGAGGAGCAGTAACCGTCGACGAGCAGGCCAGCCATCCGGAGTATAGCGACATGTCGTCAAATGGCCAGGTCTGACGATGATCCACGTAGCAGTTGAAGTAGATTCCCTCAGCAACCAAGCAGTCAAGATAGACTCTGAAAGGCTCGACCGTCTGGTTCCCTCTCAGCGGCATAAAAAAACTGGCACAGGACATCTCCTCAGAGTACTCATTCCAACATGACCAACCATCAATGTGCGGGAAGTGCTGGAGGATCCAAGTCTGAAATGAAAATAGAAAAGGATTGAGGGATCAAGAATTATCGCAAATATGAAATGAAAAAATAAAAAATAATCAAGGATACAAAATTATTACCACTAGTAGGGTCCTGCTGCTTGTGGTCTGCCTCATCGTCCACTGACATCCATCTCTCAGCTTCGAATACACATAGGCCAAGCAAGCTTCCCCCAGTTGTACTCATGGATCCATGTGAGATCCAAGAAGTACAGGAGGTATGCAACGTCAGTATAGGTGGCACTCGTATCCACAAAAAGCATAGTGCCAACTAAAAATAGAAAATAACACCTCAAAGCATGACTCCTGTGGATCTCCACCTCCTGGGCATCACCATCAGCCTGTGCTGCAACAACAAGCGCCTCATCAAATATCTCCTTCAAGAACAAAAACCTAACATGAGCACCTCTAATCATATCCACCCCCTCAGTGCCTTCACTGGATCAGCCCCCAGACGCTTTACCATCATATTGACCGCCTCGTCTTTGGTCATCCTACCATGATGGAGGAATCTCCCTCTAATCGATAGAAGCAACAAACACGAGACATCTTCTAGTGTAATTGACCTCTCACCGTATGAGAGATGAAAGTAAGAGGTCTTAGAGTGCCATCGCTATTCGAATGCATTAAGCATCTCGTGGTTGACCAAAGTGTAACCTGTCAAGCATAGGTCACTCAACCCAGAAGCGGTGAGAACCGACTGAAACCACTTCGCATCAGGCTGATGCAATGCTAAAATATTTTCCCATGGTTCAGAAACTTCTGGGAATCATGCACCTGCGAACTTCCAGAAATAATTAATGTCAACAAAATCAATGTTAGAAATAATCAATGTCAACAATTTAAATTAATGTAAAAAAATATAGTAACAATGTGACTAATGTTATCTCTTCGTCCCAGATATGTATGACAGTGTGGTCTGGATACAAAGGACCCCCTCTGAAAGCCTCTACCTCGAAATCAACAACATTACCCTTTAGAGGTGGCATCAATGCATCCCGATCAACAGGTACGACTGAGTTAATAGAAGGTGGCACCAGATCAACAGGAGGTGGCACAGGTGCATCCCGCAACTTGCGGGAGGATGGAGGAAGTAACGTGTCAGCTGGTGCATCTCGTGGTCTGTAGGAAGAAGATGAAAAAGGTGGAGTGGGCTGAGACGTAGATGAAGTGACCTGAGATGTAGTTGGAGTGACCTGAGATGTAGATGAAGTGACCTGAGGTGAAGGCTGAACCACAGGACTGAACTGAGTCTCAGAAATAGACTGTACACCAGTAGTCGATGTCTCTCCCTGACTAGAGGTACCTACTGCATCCAGATCCAGCTGACTCTGCTATCGTCTAACAGATGCGTGCTGGACAACCCGTCCATTCCTCAATCGGCCGGCTATGTCAGACATTATGTCTACAAGATATAATATAATTAATCGTACAATGAGTTTACGTAATAAGAAAAATTATAAATAAATAGAAAAAAATAACAGATTGAGAAATTTCGGAGATGCATTTCCGGAAACATTCAACGTGTCATATACTCTGGGTGATTTCGGAGATACAATTACAGAAACATTCCGCATATGTATCTCCGGAATCACCCAGAGTACATGAAACATTGAATGTTCTCAGAGATGTATCTCCGAAACATTCTGCAACTCAGAGGTCGCACCAATAACTTCCTCTGCTCCTAAGAATCACAAATTTGAAGCCTTGATCGTCCATTTGTGCCAACAAATAATACATGCAGTTATTCATTTGATTTCTAAACATTTCGACACCTAACAATGGATTCTAACTCGTTTACAACAAAATTCGAATATTTATCAGAAACTCGAAAAACTTACCTAGATTATATGATTCGAAAGATTTTGAATGATGCATTGGATGCAACTTGATGATTACTTGAGTCTTAGATGGAAGAAATCAAATTTGGTGAAGTTTGAGAAATTTAAGAATATGAGAGATGAAGAGGTTTGTGAATAGAAATAAAAAAGTGTGGGAGGAGAAGAGTTGGACGCAACAATATACTCAAAATTGTTTTAAAAATATATCTTCAAAATATTTCAACCTCCAATAAATCTTTTGTGTATTTGAAAATATATCTCCAGAATATCTTAACGTCTAATTAAAATATAATAAATCTGGAGATATATCTTCAAAAATTAAGAATATTATAAAAAATCCGCGTAGTGTTTGAAAATCGTCCACACAATCTCTTTGTTAATATATGGTTTGGCAGCCCACTTAATTTCAACAAAAATCAAAGTAGTAACACATAAAAGCAATTTTTTTTCATCAACAAGTTTATCCTTATTTTGGGACCTGGTTGTGATGACTACAAAAGTTCCTACTCCTTTTGGCGTAGTCATGAAAGTTGTATTGCTTGTTCAAGCCACTTCACGCCAAATCGGTTGAGTTATTTCTTCTTATTGAAGCTTTTGGAAAGCGGTGGCCGAACCTAGTTTGATTACGTCAGGATTGACATCAATTGGGTCTCACATTCATAGTGGACCTGTGTAACAATCTTTCCCATGCGTCAAAAGGACCTTCTCTTCAAACAAAGGATTAGAGTATTGTCTAGGTAATTTAAATGACAAAAATTAAATGAGATTGAAGATGAACTTAAGGGAAAAGTAACTTGCCATTTTGTCTGATTATAATTTTTTTGATTTAATTTATAGTATTACACAAAGCACACGCCAATTTCTCTTCCTGGTATAAAAAATGGACCCAGTTTGCAAATCACGTGTTTTTAAATAGTAAACATCATTATCATAATGTTAAGTATACTTGCTCCTCTAACAAGAACGTAATTGCTCCTAATTTGCTGTTTAAGGGTCCTTGTTTTCAATGTTTTCGTAATTAGAATTTTGTCAACTGGAAAGTCTAAGTAATAAATGTAGGAAGCATATTGTTTTTTCACATCATATGATATAAGTTGTACCATTTGCGAATATTTAAGCGACTTTAATTAACGATGTTTGATTATTTTAGTTACTAGTTATTTTCAATACATGATTTATATAGTATAATAGGTGTGTGAGGTGCTATTATACATAACATATAGAACTTCATTGAAATTAAACTACTTTTGCAAGTATATCTAATTAGGAATTGCATCTCTCCATCATAAGAAAAATAAGATTTAAGAGAGATCGAAATAAACGGAAAAACAAATAAGAATTATATTAACTACAACAGAAGTCTCTTATTAATACTATTATGCTTTCCAATATCACTTGGAATATGATGCACATAAATTTTGTAGTAACCATATAGAATATTGTAGCATGCATGAAGCAAAATGACTACGAAGTCACAATGCAATTATTATTTGAAATCAAATATATATGTGATATATCTTAAGAAGATTGAATAATGCATATGCTAGTAATTATAAGTAGCTAAAACAAGAAATTCTGTTTTTTTTAATATTTTATTTTAGGGATCTATTCATTTCCTCCCGAACCAGAACCGTATCCTGAACCGTAGCCAGAGCCACTGCCAGAGCCATAACCTCCATTACCTCCTCCTCCACCACCTCCGCCACCTCCTCCTCCACCACCTCCGCCACCTCCTCTTCCACCTCCTTGACCATATCCGCCTCCTTCACCATAACCAGAGCCAGAACCATAGCCTGACCCACCAGAACCACCACCTCCACCTCCACCTCTACCACCACCTCCTCCACCGCCCCCGCCTTCACCTCTACCACCTCCAGACCCATATCCAGAACCGTATCCCGATCCATATCCAGAACCGTACCCTGAGCCACCATTCCCACTACCTCCTCCACCACCTCCTCCTCTACCACCACCTCCTCCTCCTTGTGATCCTCCACCATATCCTTCACCCCCACCAGACCCATACCCAGAACCACGTCCTCCTAAACCACCACCACCTCCTCCCCCTTCCCCACCCCCACCACCCCCACCTCTACCACCACCAAGTAACCTAGCAGCACATGCTAGGTCTACAATGAACAAAACAATGAAAACAACCCCTATGAACTTGGAGCTTGCCATGGAAAAAGTAGCAGTGACTAACTGAATGTATATGAGAAAGTGATGTGTTTGAGTACAATAAGAATATATATGTTGCAATTGTACTTTGTTGCATAAAAGTGAAAAATGATGGACCCTATTTATAGACATTGTAAAGGTTGTTCTAGTAAGTTCCTATTGATATATTATACAACACCTAATCCGTTATTTGCTTGATCATAAATCATAATATTAAAATGTGGAGATAATATATATATATATATATATATATATATATATATATATATATATATATATATATATATAATCAGTTCAATTAATAATTAATTACAAAGGTGTCATTTTGAATTCTCCGCTTTTAAACAATTAGATCAAAAAAATTAAATTTCTTATAATTTTTTATATAAAATTAACTAAATCAATTCAATAGTTGAATTATTTGATATTGTATTCATAATAAAATATATATAATTTAAAATAATTTAAATATTTGTTGGTATATATTTTAATAATGTGTTACTTTAAATTTAAAATATGTATCATTTAAAAAGTTTATGATATATAATTAATTAAATATAAATAAATAACTATTTATTCATTAGAGTATTGATATAAAATACTAAAGGTAACTTCTACAAGAGTTGAATAATACAATTTTATTGTCTTAAAAATATTTTTGTTTCAGATTAATTGATTGTACTAATAATTGTACTAAAACATTATTGCATGAACCGACAGAATTCTTTATTTTTTTTCAAATGAAAAACTTACAGAGAGCATTCAAAATGCAAATTTGCTTTATATGTAAATACTACATAGAAGTGTCAATATGCAAATACAGTATATGAGAATGGATGAAACTTTAGTGGGGGCATTTGCCCCCATAGTAGAATGAGTAGCTCCGTCCTTGAAAGTATGAAGAAACGTGTTGCTAGGGATTTCTTTAGTGGTGGTGTCAATACAGATAGTGGGATATTAGGTGTCGGGGAATCTCTGCGTTCTTTTATTATCCTTATACAACACTATTTGATATACAGTGACATAATCTTACTTCCACTTTTGACTTAACTATGTTAAGCTGAATTATAAAAATAGAAAATGGAGCCAATGAGGCATACTTGTCAACCTGTTCACATACATGTATTATATGTATGAAGGATGCCGAATACGAGCACAAAAATTAAGTGCACTTTGCAAATTGGCACTATGGTGAAATATGATTGCAAGTTCATATTATTATACAAGTATATAGATAAGTATGGTGGTTTGACTTGTAAATATTTTTGTTCAGCAATTAACATGTGTTATAATTTACTAAATATTTTAAAGGGTTTTATTCTAAGTCCACACTTGTCTCTTCATTCTAATCAGAGGAAGAATTATTATTCGTTCTCGTTGATTATAACGTGACATGAGCGGAAAATTAAAACGTGATAGTTGAAAACTTCGTCTTAACATCCATGCTTTATATGTCTTCTCTTAGATTTTATTATAATGATTTTTGAATATTAAAATATTTGAGTATTTTTCTTATGCGATCTGAGTCATTGATAATGTTCGTTTTCTTTCTTTTTGGCAAGTCATTAAGTGATCTCTGAGGGGTCAGTTATACAGTTTCTTGAGACATTAATTTTATTCTTTTCGTCGTATGTATTTACACAACATACTATTTTCTGTAGCTAAAGAAAATGGTGTCTATCATGAGTCAAAAATAAAAAGGGTGCTTCTTCTTTTTGGGATGATTTTCTCTTTTCAACAACTGTCTCTACATTTGCTCATGAAGGTAGTCTTAAGAGGGTTTTCCTTGACGCGGGTCTTTCTTCAGATTAGGATGTATTGACCTTTGAGGAAGGTAAAAGGATTTGCAGTGAGTATTGTGAGTGCGTCATTCCTTTCTATGAGCGGACTTTTTCGATCTTAGGTCTCTGCTTGCCTTTTAATTGTTTCAAAATAGAGGTTTTGAACCATCTGATGATCACTAATTCACAGTTGAAACCCGTGAGTTGGCCTGACATCAAAGTCTTTCAATATTGGTTTGATTATATAAGAGGAAAGACCCTTTTATCCATTTTCTTCCATCTTTTCATAGTATAGTATGCAAGTTACCTGTTGTTTTGAAGTGTTTTCGGATAGCGTGAGACATTTCATAAATTGATTTTTCTTGGTTTCCCCTCTTCACAAAGAGGATCATGTGACAATATGCTTTGTAGAATCTAGAACAGAGAACACGTTTACTAGTTTATTTCATAAGTATTAGAACCAATGTCACTTCTGACGAGGAATGAATCATAAGTCTACAAGGAAAATGATCTATCCAAAAAAGAGTTTTACCTGAAAAAATGATTGACCAACTTTGTCAAAGAGTTGGGTTACGCTGGGGTGTTATTACCCAGGATGAAATCTCAAAGAAACACTTGATACGATTTGTTGAGACCTGTCTGCTAATAGATGATCGTACCAAGGAAGAGAGGAAGGTCAACTTTGGTAAGCACCCTATGTTTTTGTCTTCCATAGTAAGTTTTTGTTATTCGCAATGTCGTTAACTCTTGGTAATTGTTATATGTAGATTCAATGAAGAATGAGGAAATAATCTACAAAATGAAAAAGGGAATTCGAGTTGCCCTGACTATTGTTGGCCCTTTAAATGCTTTAATGCCAAACAATGTTCCTCCTTCGGCTACTTAGCCATCTCGATCAGATTCTTAAGGGAGACCTGCCTCGTGGTCTACTGATAAGTTGGTATTCTTGGCGGCCCCCGTAAGGCCTGGCGTACGTTAGGTCCTCCGACTCCTGCCTTCTTAGCTAAGACGGGACCTCACACTCCAAAAGAGTACCAGTCGTCTACTCTAGAAGAGGACTGCTCTTACCTTGACAATCTAACCGATGAGGCTTTTGAGGAGGAGTTGTCGAATATGGCGTGTTACAATCTCCAACCTTCTGCCGTCATGGATATTAGTTGGGTCGGTTGTTGGGATTCCTTTTTATCTGATCAACATCGCAATGAGAGACGACTATTGAAGGATAATGTCTGTAACCTGACGCTTCAGCAAGATACACACCTGCAAGAAGTACAAAAGGCTTATATTTCTCTTACTGAGATATGTGATGATCTGAGTGTCTTCAATCTTTTCGACTCGTTAGTTGATCACGTAAAACTCATCGGAAGGGAAGTAACTAATAAAGATAAAGATCTAGCCTCCGTCCAGGTTACTCTATCTACTACGAAAACATCTCTCTCTGCTGTTCAGGAGGACCTTGAAAACTTGCGCCTTGAGAATGTCTATCTGGCTCAAAAACTAGACGATTTATCGACTACTGGTCTCACGACCGTCTCTAAGTCTTTTGAGAATGCTATGCTATAAGTAGAGCATTTTTACCCTTTCCTCTTCAAATTTTAAGGGAGAAAATACAGCCAAACCAGATAATTAAAGATGAAAAAGTCATTTTGCTTTGAGATTAGATGTGTCATTCTCCTAGTTTATTGTTGTTGTAAACGTAACACATTGCGATGGGAAGTGTAAATATATAAATTTAACATTGACATATTAATTTTACTTGATTAAGGTGTATTTGATCTCAAGTTAATTGCATTGTGCATTCCGATAACCTACGAGGTCTTTGCTCGAAGTTTATTGGACATCTTTGAGGTCGTTCCTGGCCAAGGGTCGGTACCCCTTCCCCTCAGGTGAAAACTTGGTTTGAGGTTGACATATGGCAGACCCACTATGGTCTTTGGAGTAGTTATCTAAAAAGAAGGCGGCAGGTCACCTATTGCTGACTTAGTGGTTTTGCCTCTTTCTTTGTGTATACGCTTTGCATTGTGGGGTTTGAAGTTGCAGTCACCATCAGTATCACTATTTAGTTTTTATTATTTGCAATTTTGTGTGTATAATATATTATTTAATTTCTCGCTCTTTTGTATCCTATTCATCATGTGGATTATCTGTATTATTGTTGTAGCATAACATTGCTTGTGTAATTCATTTGGATTAACTTGTTGTAATACTCGTTCGCTTAGGCTATTTAAGTTTATGTACCTTCGGGAAAACTCTCATCTTATTATTTTAGTGTTATAGTCCATGTTTTAGTCCTGTTTTAAGCCTATCAATTGGTTTTATGTCAAAATCAAAAGTATTGCTTGAATCACAAGTCATAACACTTGAATCAAGGTCATAATGTGTGATTAGAATCACACAAAGGTGTGAGTCAAATCATATAACATCATGAAAAATGAGGTTTGATTCTACCTTTTTTTATTTGAATTATAGCAAGGTGTGAGTTGAATCACAACCTCTATGAGTTAAATCATGGGCACCCTCACTTTTTCAACCTTAGATCCAAGTTGAGTATTTCTTTGATTCGAATCATAAATTTATGATTTGATAAAATCCTTTTGTCTTAGTAAATTTGAAGGAATCTTTCCCAAGAGAATGTGTCCATTCTCTTTCACCAATTTATTTTTTCTCCTTTTTGTCAATGAGAGTGAGTGTGTCACAAAGAGAAAAAATTCTCAGAAAAGTGTGAGGAAAACATATCTCTAGATTCATTGTTGTTCTTATGTTCTTTTTGAATACCAAGAAACCTAGAGGGAGAGAGAAAGAGAAAGTGAGTGTGTGTGTGAGAGAGAGAGATAGAGATATATATATATATATATATATATATATATATATATATATATATATATATATATATATATATATATATATATATATATAGAGAGAGAGAGACGAGAGAGAGAGAGAGAGAGAGAGAGAGAGAGAGAGAGAGGGAGGGAGAGAGAGAAAGAGAGAGAGAGAGAGAGAGAGAGAGAGAGAGAGAGAGAGAGAGAGAGAGAGAGAGAGAGAGTTATTGGACCAATATTTAGACAACTATATAGAACCTTGAAACCCATATTTTCCAAGAACCTTAAGAGAGCTTAGAAGGTGTTCTTTATTCACCAACAACTAATTCCTTGTTGACACCTTGTGATTAACTTTATATAATGTGGATCTTGAGAATTTTAGTTATGTGTGTGAAATTCT